CTTTTGAAACCGCTCCATTACTTTTTCATTCTCAACTTTCGCAAGTGCTTCGGTCTCGACATTACACAGCAATGCGTCGTTCAAAAATTCATCGCCAATTTTGTTACGCAAGTCGGTCTTCAAGAGCTTCATCTTTGAAAAACATCTTTCTACACTTGCGGTCGCTACAGGTAATATCAAAGCCAACTTCAATAGCTTATAAACCAAAGGATAAGATCGATGCTTCCCCGTATTAACCATCAAACGAGAAAGGTCGGAAATTCCTTTCAAACTAGCGAAGCGCTCATCTTTGATGCAAGAGTGATAAAATATCTCAAGTTGTCCTTCAAGGTCTATCATATCTGAATCATCAAAGTCATACTTGTATAACTTACCCAACTTCAATAACTTTGATTTGTCAAATTGTGCAAATGAATCACAAGGGCTCAAAGCACCCATGTATTCTAGTAATTGGGTGCTTGTTTCACTAAACCCGATCCCGATATTCTGTAAGTTGCATATCTACCATCGTGTTGAAGATTTCAACCTCAAAATGAAACCTATTAGTCTTTGTAGTCCTACGGTTTCTCGCACCACTATACAACTCTTCCATATCCAAAGTATCAATTTCGTGTGTTTCACAAAAAGATGATACTTTTGGCAAAATGCTAGCAAACCCTATGTTTTTAAAAGATTGCAATGCCTCCATTGTCCCTCTAACCATCAAAGCCGCTTCTAAAATGTCTAAATCTTTTCTTTGAAGTTGCTTTGACAATGTACCCGTGAGGTGTAAAATGTCATACATCATATGTAAGTAAAACACGAACTCATATGATTTAAAATATGCTAAGATTCCAGATGCTTGTTGACGGTTTGCCAATGACCCTCCCTCCTCTTTCACAAAATCTAAAACTACAAGAACATCCGCAAATAACTTCATCAAACTTGTGAGTGTGTTGAAATGTGAACCCCATCTTGTTTCTCCTGCTCGAACAAGTGTAGTCTCTTGATTTAACCCTCTTCTGGTTTCAAGTTCACCACTACACAAGCCTTTTTGCACCCTTTCTCTTGCTTGCTCTCGTAGTAAGTCTTTTCTTTTACACGATGCACAAACTACATTAACCACCAACGAAATTTGCTCAAAAAAGTCACTAACACCATCATGCTTCTTTGCTACAGCCACAACTACTAATTGAAGTTGGTGTGCAAAGCAATGTACATAAAAAGCCGTGTCATTCTCTTGTAATATCAAAGCTTTCAAACCATTGAATTCCCCTCGCATATTGCTAGCCCCATCATAACCTTGTCCTCTTATCTATTAAAATTTAAAACAATTAATATATATATATATATATATATATATATATATATATAAATTGAAATAACAAAAAAACTAAAGAATAAATTACCTGACTAAAACTCAACTTATTACTTGAAAGTACTTCATTTATGGCGTTTTTGAGTGTCAAAGAAGATGTATCCTTCACGTGCACTAGACCTATGAATCTTTCTTTCACAAAGCCAAGAGTATCGACATAACGCAAAACAATAGTCATTTGTTCCTTTTTTGAAACATCACTAGATTCATCAACTAGTAAAGCAAAAACATCTTGACCAATCTCTTCATAAATACTTAAAAGTACTTCTTGTGCAAAACATTGCACAAGTTCTTTTTGAATTTTAGGGGAAATTAGTTGATTGTTTTTTGGAGCATTTTCTAAAGTATTGTTGAAAATATCTTCACTAGTCTCTCGAATGGCTTTTAACACTTCAATGTATAGCCCTCTATTTTCCGAGTTAACTGACTCGTCATGACCACGAAACGGTAAACCGGTTTTCAATAAAAGTCTAACAACAATAATAGAAACACGTAATCGAGCTTTATATTTATGATCCTCTGCTTCGGTTTGCCTCCTAAAGACTACATTGATAGCTTGTTTTCCCTCATTAAAAACTCACACTTTTCTTTTGCTTTGTTGTGAAAACTATCAATACCACCCACATGAGTCCGAAATGCATCTTTTTTATTCCAAGTATCAAAACCTTGAGAAACAAATGCATCTCTCCCTCCTTTTTGTCCCATGAGGTCCCCACACAAATAACAATATAAACAATATGCACTATCCTTTTTCACACTATATTCCAACCAATCAAAGTCATCAAACCATGAAGGAACGAATACTTGACACGGTCCTTGAAGCAAATATGCTCTTCTTACATCATCTCTTATATTTGGTTTGTAACTTGTAATCAATGGCCTATCCCCCGGGTCCTTTGGAAGATCCTTCAAGTCAACATTATCATTAGGTTGGTTAGAGCATTGTGTTTGTGGAGTTGCATTAGAAACCGAAGGGATTGATTGATTGGTGATTGGTGTTTGTGGAGTTGCATTAGGATTAGAAACGGAAGGCATTGATTGATTGGTGATTGGTATTTGGGAACATTCTTCACCACTTTCATTAGGATTAGGTCTTTGTCTTTTGGTAAAAAAAAACCAGTTAGTTTAACCTATAAAAACATAACAATGACTTCAATAAAACAACTTGCTTTCACCTAATCAAACAATAAATTCAATAAAAACATAACAATTACACCTAATCAAACAATGACTTCAATAAAACAAGTTGGTTTCACCTAATCAAACAATAAATTAAATAAAACATATCAATTTCACCTAATCAAACAATCAATTCAATAAAACAAGTTGCTTTCACCTAATCAAACAATAAATTCAATAAAACATATCAATTTCACATAATCAAACAATCAATTCAATAAAAAACATAGCAATATAACCTAAGCAAACAATATAACTTCAACAAAACAAATCAATTTCACCCAAGTCAATCACTAACTTCAAAAACACATATCAATTTCAAATATCTTAATGAATTGATAATTGGTAAAACTTACTTGCTTCATTGTGAAATCGATCAAGACATCAAGTATTGTGAATTTTGATCCATCAAACCATTGAAATCGATCAAGCCTCAGCCCTCAAGGTCGATTGATCGATTGAATTTTGGGGCCAAAAGTCGATAGTCGTGGACGTCGTGCCTACTGCTTCATGCGTCGCTTCTAAGTCTTCGATCGTGTTTTTTTTTTTTTTTTTTCCCTTTCAACCAATGGTTTAATTAAATTTTCACAATTAGGATTATTGGGCTATCTTTTTTACAAGCAATTAGCCCAATTGCTAATTTATCAAATTAAGTTTCATTTGGGTTTTAGGGCTTTAGACAATTTGACTAACTACAATTGAATAAAACATTTGGCTCGTTATTATTATTTTTTTCGTTCGGTAATTCCCGAAAGAGTGACAATATTTTTTTATGTACTTGCACAATTTTTTTAGTACGTGCACGATTTTTTTTACGTAGTGGCACAATAGGTAAAAATTTAAAAAAAAAAAAAAAAAATTCTACTTTGTACGCGGAAGCTAGGTGTTGCCGGTGCCACACCGGGCACCTAGCTAGGACCGCCCATGGCGAGGCAGAAGGTGAGATTGCCATATGGTAAAACTTCTTATTAGGACATTCAAGTTTGAAAAGCACCTAAATATAGTAGTAACAAGTAATGCTTATGTCAATGACATTGATATAACTTTAAATAAACAAATAAACCAACCGTAACTTGCAATTTATTGCATTTAACCCAATAAAAGTCTATCAACTGTAATCGTAATTATGATCATTTTTATTTACAAATATTTTAAATTATTGAATTTGATATTTTTGTGGTAAACATGGGTGAATTTTCTAAGTTTCGTTGCTTTTAGTGCTGAAAAAAATTTGGAATGTTGCCTTTGCTCTAGTTTTAGTGGTAAAATTGGTTGATCTTGATTGCTATTATTGGCAAAAAGGCTAAGAATGTCGACTTTACCATATTGTTTATACATAATATTTTAAATTAAGTTGCCGTATTTTCCAAAAGTAAATAGGCAAAATAAATAAGTTCATGGGTATTTGACTCATATGTTTAAAGGGTAACACATGATTTTAACATTTTTCCCGACAACTTGCAACACTATAATGAGCTTAAGGAAGAAATGAGAGGCACCTCCAATGCCAGGATATTGCAATTACTCCCACCCTCAACTTCTGGGAAATCTCCTTAAATGCAATGATTGAATCCCACAGCCAACCATCCCAATTTTGTATATCCCTTTTTATATACCTATTCAGTTGCCATCATTGACCTGCAATATGACTAGATTTACAATCAAACTTTTTTTTTAATAATTAAACATAGTACAAAGTTAAATATTTATGGTACCTACACCTTCTCCACAAGCAACAAGAACTTAAAGGTCTTATCAGGAACCATCAACAAAATCAAGTTTTCGTCAGTGTCAAAAAGTATAAAATGTTCAAAGTCATCAAATGATAACAAACTTATATAATCAGAGAAAATTTTCATATTATCATAAAGTTGGGTTGCTGTCTTATACGCCAACCTAATCTTGTTTCCACCGGGAGAGATGGTTTGATGCATGGCAAATAACATATTTAAAATTAAATACTACGAAAAAATGGTCCAAAACTGAACATGAATAGAGGAAAATTATTAACACAATATCACATTTACGTCATCCACGATAAAAGTTAGAGTTTTAGCTGAACCCCTCGCTTTGAGCGTTCAACGGTCATCTTGCATTTGTGAACATGCTTGCGGTTGTTAATGGATCAAGATAAATGTCCCAATCATGTATTAGTATGATATATTCTTTTATTTTTTTTACTTAATGTCCTTAATGCATATAGGACTTAGTCTGGTAAGATAATTTATATATGAGTTGTTTTTACTTAATAGAGATAGTCATGGATACATGGGAACATGAGCACGAAAAATAGAGGGGCCGATATCAAAATTTTAAAACGAACCATTTAAAGAGAGACATTTTTATTAGAAACGACAAATAACATTTTAAAGATAGATTGATTTTCATAATGATATCCGCTACATAAAAATTAGCAAATAACTACATTTACATAATAATCCAACATAACGAAGGCAAATATCTACTAAGAAACAACGTTGTTATTTTTCCCTGATTGTGATAAACGTTTCCATTTGGATGTGGTCCACACTTCATTGATCATTTTTTCCCAATACTCCTTTTTTATCCAATTTGGGCGATAGTCCTTTAGCAAACTTAAATCACCTTCTAGTGAGGCATTTACATTTGCAGCTTTGGCAAGTTTTAAAGATGCTTCACGTGCTCTTCGCATTACGTCAGGAAATCGTTTCTTCATACAGTCTTCCCATACCTTGCCAGCAAGAACATCAGTCTCTTCGGGCCAAACATACAAACCCTACATGTACATCACGCATACAATTATCTTTTTCACTTTATACCAATTTTTACTTTGATAAATCATAAAAATAATAAGTACAAACCTTGAAGTGTTCCCACATTGCATCACGATGTTCTTTGTCAACCTTCTTCCATGAGGTCCATGGGCCGTCAAACATCGTCTTCAGTATACATGTGATGGCTCTGATCACTGAAATCTGATCCGTAAATCTTGCAAAAAATTAAAAATTAAAAAATTAGCATTAGTATTATCATTAACAAGTAAATTCATTTTCATAAACAATGGTAAAATTAACTTTAGTACTCCTTTTCAGAATCGACTTCAATGAACTTCCTTTTTGATGGGTTACTTGGAACTTGTTCTAAGATGTTTGATCCTCTAACTGAAGAAGAAGGTTGACTTTCTGCATCATTGTATGATTGGGATGCATTTCTATCTCCAGCATCACGACCACTAATGTGACTACCACTGCGACCACCACCACGGGCTCCTCGTTGCGCCATTAGTCAAAAAATAACCCTTAAAATCAAGAATTAATAAACTATTGGTTAGAACAAGTATGTATTATAATAGAAAATTATAGAAGTAAGAGAAGGTAACATGCTATAATACACAAATAAATGAAAGTGCAATGTATATAGAAAAAGAAAACGATCATTTTAGCTAAAAAGTTATTTATAAGGTCCATTAGGCAAAATATATAGTTCCAAGTACATTGTTTCATTCTACATTTTTAGTAATTACTCATCATCAGAATTATCATCACATATGTTTTCATCTTCAATATCATCTTCGGATGAATCATCCAAGTTATCATCAACTTCTTCATCCTCTTCTCTCTCAATGTCATTGTCATTAACTTCTTCTATTTCTCCTTCAATTACATGAGAAAGGGGTCCTGCCACCTCATTTGCACCGCTACTTGTAGAAGGTAAAGTCGCTTCACTTTCTTGAAAGAATTGGTCCTCTTCATCCTCATCATCACATTCTTCAGTAACACATTGTCGTAGATCATATACACCCCTTGGTTTCGTCTTGACGACAACCCACCAATCTTTCAAATCCTTCATTGCAGGATATGGTGCATAATACACTTGTTCTGCTTGTGACGCTAGGATAAACGGATCTTCATTTCTTAACCTTGATTTGTATTTAATATCAACCAAATTATGCTTTCGATCCACACGTACCCCTTCAGTAGGGTTAAACCATGTACACTTGAACAATACTATGACACAACGCCCTATGCCTTGATATTCTACTTCCAAGACCTCATCCAACAACCCATAATAGTCACACTCAGTCTCATTGTAACAAGTACCTCTTACACATACACCACTATTGTGTGTGACCCGTCCATCACCATATTTTTCAGTATGAAACTTGTAACCATTGACAAAGTATCCTTTATAGGACCTAACATGTCGTAATGGTCCTCGTGCAAGGCATTTCAAATGTTGATTGATATAATTTGATTGTTGAAAAACCTACATTGATAAATTCATTTGTTAACTAATTCACATGGGAAGACACTTTGGTAATACAAAATTTTCTCGTATCATACTCACATGATCTTTAAACCACTTAGCAAAATGTTGATCCCTAAACATTTCAAATGCTCCACCATCCATATCAGGTTGGCTTTGGATCACATAATTTTCAAACAACCTTAAAAAATAACAAAAATTTTAGAGTTTCACGAAATCAAGGAAAAACAGATAACTTGACATACCTTAAAAAAGGTAGAACCTCAACACAATTGATCAAGATGTAATTATGAGCAATACGCATCTCATCATCTGTCAAAGGCCTCCGTTGACCACTTTTTTCGAATAATCTTCGAGATGGAACTTTGAAAATGCTTAATCGAGAGTCGACCATGGTATAACTAGGAATGTCTGGGGCAAAATTACGCGACTCACGATTCAACCGAGTTTCAATTGTAGGCAAAAAGTATTGTGAGCAAAAAGTCGATATTTCTCCAATCATGTAAGCCTCAACAATGGACCCCAACCTTTGCATGGTTTTTTATCTTTCTTTTCATTGATCCCAATTTCCTAAAAAGATGTTGGAAAAGACTTATTAGAAATTCCATAGGTTTTATGGTAGAATATTTTGTATGGTAAAAAAAATACCTTTCATAAAGATACATCCACCTATATTGAACCAGACCACCAAGCATAGCTTCTCGAGCTAAGTGGATAACAAGATGCTCCATTGAATCAAAGAATCCAGGTGGAAATATTTTTTCCAACTTGCAAATGGTTTCAACAATACTAGTTTGCAACCGTTGTAAGTGATCTACGCGTAACACCCTTGAACATATTACACGAAAGAATGTACACAACTCTGTAATTGCATCCCATGTTGAGTTTGGCACCATACCTCTTAGAGAAATAGGCAACAATCTTTGAAGAAATACATGGCACTCGTGACTCTTGAATTTGTAAAAGCTATTATCATCTACATTAACGCACCCCCCCAAGTTTGAGGCGTATCCGTCCGGGAATTTAAGTTTAATCAACCATTGGCATATTTTAGCTACTTGTTCTTTGCTCAAAGAAAACGATGCTCTATTTTTCATATCCTTATTTCCCTTCTTCCATGTATGCCATTGCACTCGATTACAATACATTTCTATATCTTTTCTTGCATTCATGTTGTCTTTGCTTTTCGGAGTGTCCATCACGGTGTTGAAAAGATTTTCAAACACATTTGTCTCAATGTGCATGGGATCAAGGTTGTGTCGTATTAACAACTTCCGCCAATATGGTAGCTCCCAAAAGATGCTCCTCTTAACCCAATTATGAGTAATCCCAAAACCAGGCAATTTTGCATTCTTCGCTCTAAAAGGTTTGCCTTCATAAACAGTTGGAAAGTGTCGTACTTGCTCCCAAATCTGATCACCGGTTAATATTGGTGGGGGGCTAGATCGCTCAACCTTATTAGCCAGAAATCCTGTTTTGTCACCCCGATATGTGTGTTGTTCAGGTAAAAACTTTCGATGGCAGTCAAACCAACATGGTTTACTACCATGGTGTAACCGAAACGACCCCGACTCACCCATACAATACGGACATGCTAACTTGCCATGTGTGCTCCATCCCGATAACATTGCATAAGCAGGAAAGTCACTAACTGTCCAAAGAAGTATAGCTTTCATTGTGAAATTGCATTTAGTCGAAGCATCATAAGTGACAACACCGTCTGTATATAGCATCTTTAACTCGTCAATTAGCGGCCTGAGAAACACATCTATATTTTGACCTGGGCTCTTTTTTCCAGGAATAACTATGCTTAATTGAACATATGGTTCTTTTAAGCACATCCAAGGAGGCAAGTTATAAATTGAAAGGAAAACAGGCCAACATGAATACGGGGTTGTATTTGAGTTATTTGGACTGAACCCATCGGTGCATAGCCCAAGGCGAACATTCCGTGGTTCACTTGAAAATTCTTGATGCATTGAGTCGAAATGCTTCCAAGCCTCACCATCACTTGGATGGACCATCAAACCCGGTTCCGTTTGATGTCCATAGTGCCATGTCATTTGCTTTGCCGTCTTTTTTGTTAAATACAACCTTTGGAGTCTAGGAGCAATTGGCAAGTACCTCATAACCAAATAAGGCAGTTTGCCACTCTTGTACCGATCATGATCACACACGCGACACTTAGTCAAATCAGAATCTGCCCCATAGAATATCATGCAATGGTTTTTGCAAGCATGGATCTTTTTTTCTGGGAGTCTAATTATTTTCAAAAGCTTCTTCGTCTCATAGAAGTTCTCAACTAGTTTCTCACCTTTGGGTAGCATCCGCTTAATTATAGGAAGTATGTGATCATAAGCAACCTCAGATATATTGTATTCTGACTTCCAATGCAGCAACTCTGTTGCAGCTTGTAATTTTGAATAATTTTCACATCCATCCCACAAAGGTTCATCAGCGTCTTCCAACATATCATAGAACCCCTTGGCATTTGGATTCGGGAGTTCCTCCATTACATCCATCAACATTTGTGTACACCCATTAACATCATCATCATCATCATCATCTTCCATCGGATCCTGCATCGGATTAGAAGATTCTTCCTCATGCTGAGATATCGTATTTCTTTCACCATGTGCCCACCAAGTTGTGTAATTAGGAGTGAAACCGTTTTGTAACAAGTGAAGCTCTACATCACCTCTTGTTTTATAATACATGTTCTTGCATTTAAAACAAGGACATCTAATATAATCCCCATCAACAGTTGCTTCATTAGAAAAAGAAACATCCAAAAATCCTTTGACGGATGCATGATATGCTGTGCTAAGATACCCATGATCTAACCTTTTGTACATCCAATCTCTATCACTACGTGTTGACATAATGACTAGCTACAAACAAATATATAACTATTATTTAGAAATTAGATAATGCAGTCATATCCACATTACTAAAAGCATCCTTGGAAACTACAGTTATACTATATGAAATACTTATTTTTATTAAAAGCATCACCAAAAAGATAATTATGGAAAACTAGAACTATAGGGACCAAAAGTGTCTTGCTTATTTCCCTCTTTCAAAGTGTTGACATAATGACTAGCTACAAACAAATATATAACTATTATTTAGAAATTAGATAATGCAATCATATCCACATTACTAAAAGCATCCTTGGAAACTACAGTTATACTATATGAAATACTTATTTTTATTAAAAGCATCACCAAAAAGATAATTATGGAAAACTAGAACTATAGGGACCAAAAGTGTCTTGCTTATTTCTAAGCTTATGTATAGATTTGATACAAATTGAAAACATGGTTTTGACAGTGAATTACTTTTTTCTGTTTATTTTAAAGGTTGAAGGGATCATATGCTAGTTGTCTCTTCCATTTGATTATTAATATCTTTAATCTATTACCCACATGATCATATATGAAATCGTTGAATGAGTTCAGTAAGAAATGAGTTAAGAAGAAGATGAAAAATCCATTATTTATGATATGTGATAAGGGACCTGAGAAATCTAAGGGACCTGAGAAAGCTATTGATTTTGGCATGTCTATCTTCTTCAAGCCAGGTGACTATATCTCTCCTTCCAGAATTACCATAAATTAAGGATTACAGCTTCTAGTCAGGAAATTAGTAGACAATTAAGGTTCCTAATCATTGTATCTATTGGATACACACAATCTACTGTCTTATTCTACTTAGCTGCCTTATCTTAAGACAAATTCAATTCAATGATCTATATTAGAAAACATTACTTAACATGAAGATTGATATAGTTGGAATAGTTAGAAATCTTTAATGAACTTTCTAATAAACAAGATATTAAATATACATGTGAGAAGTTCTCTGAAATAGTTGGAAGCCCATATTACATGGCTCCAGAGGTCCTCCTATTATGTTCATATGGAATACTACATAGTATGCTGCTAATTATTGCTAGGATCATCTTTGCTTTTGTTTTTTTGTTTGCGGTTTCAGTACCATAAGCTCCTCCTACATTATTATGAAATGGGAGCCAAAAGTTCATTAATATGATGACCTGGCATTTACAATAAAAAAAAGTTTCTTCATCTCATTGTTTTTCAGAAAAAAGTTGAAAGAGTTATCATAATAAAACTAAGTCCAATAACTATAATGCTTACTCTTTTTCTGTTGTATACCCTGCATAAGCAAGAAAAAGAAAACCATAAAGCTTTTAGTTCATCCATTCAACTTTGTATGTTGTTAATGTTATATGATTAACACATGCTAAAAAAATATGTAATAATGACTTTTTCTTAAATCAAAGTAAGTATTTTTATATTTGAATGTTGGTAAAGATTTTTTTGCTGATTTGTCCTTCAACTGCCTCTCATATGTAAAAATTCCCTAAACATAAAGCCTGAATGTTAGACACTTTGTTACAACTAACATACATAAAACACAGATCCAAATACAGAAAAAAGATAAAGTCTGGTGTATTATTTTACACAAAGAAACAATCTAATGGGCAACAAGAGCATCTGGTTACTACTATGATGCTGCTTCTTGATAGGAATCCTCACCAGGTAATTAATTAAATAAATAAATCTATTCTATTCTTATTCTACTCTCACACAACTTTATTTATATATATATATATATAAATGCACCTTCTTCTGTTAACACATCGGTCCAGTCAGCAAACTTAGATGAAAGAAATAAGGAGAAAGAGAAGATGAAAGAAATAAAACTTGCTTCAAAAAACTAAATGAAATTAAATTGACATGTAAAGAAAAAAGTTTTTGTTTTTACTAAATAGAAAAGTAGTGATATATGCACCAAAGCCTGTATCTTTTTAGGTGTACTTCAATCTTGTTTATACATTTGGTATGTTAGAATGGAATAGATGATTACATTCCAGTATCATGCTTTGTTTGTTATGTCAAGTTAATAAACTAAATGAAATTAAATTGGCATGTAAAGAAAAAAGTTTTTTTTTGTAAATTACTAAATTACCCTGACCTGACATGACAGGTGAGTCATCATCCTACCCTGATAGCCTGCCACTGTGAGGGTAGAGGGTGGAAATTTGGGGGGGGGGGGCAGCAACATAAGAACAAAATTTTGGGGGAGATCAATTCAGCTTGACCCTATTGGACTTTTTACCCTTGAGTTTGATGATGGTGAAGTTTTCCATTGGAGTAAGGTAATGTAAAAAAGACGATTTTGCCCTTGAGGTCAAAAATCAAAAAAGTTTCATAAATGGTCCCTCTGTGGTATTGTAAAAGAGGATTAAAAATTTTCAAACCACAGGAACAGGGACCATCCTTGAGATTAAAAATTAGTAGGGACCATTTATGAAAATTTGAACTGTTTTTTAAATTATTGTTTGTTTTGATGAATTTATTAATTTTTTCGGACCTTGAAAAACTCTTTTTTTTTCCATTAATGTATTTGCACTGATGATATCATACTTTTTGTTTTATAATTCCTTAAGACTGAGGTGTTGAGGAAGCTGTCATCGATGCATGGATCGGTGATTTCCACGGGTGGAGGTGCTGTTGTTCAGCCTATCAACTGGTATGCATATATATATATATATATATATATATATATATATATATATATATATATATATATATATATATATATATATAAATTGTTAGCAAAGTGTGTTGCTAATTAATTTGGTAATTATATTGTTTGCGTTTAATTTGTCAGGAAATATATGCAGAAGGGTGTTACTATATTTCTAGATGTACCATTGGAAACATTGGCACTACGAATAGTCAAAAATCAAAAAAGTTTCATAAATGGTCCCTCTGTGGTATTGTAAAAGAGGATTAAAATTTTTCAAACCACAGGAACAGGGACCATCCTTGAGATTAAAAATTAGTAGGGACCATTTATGAAAATTTGAACTGTTTTTTAAATTATTGTTTGTTTTGATGTAATACAGGTGACAACAAGTATTAAAAATTAGTAGGGTCAAATAATGTTGCATCAACAACTACAAGTATGGAAGTGAATAATTCATGTGCAGTGCCATTTAGGACAGATGCATCTGCTTTGGGGTCTTACACACCACCAGCAGCTACAGTGAGTGGTAGAAGACGGTTTTCAGAGGCGCCTGTACATGTACATGGACATGTACAGTCAGCAATGTCTGGTAAAGAACAACAACAGCAGGCTCATAGTGGTTATAGGGATCGAGCTACTAAAAGGAGGAGTTTATATGAATAATTGTTTCAGTAGTAGTCTTCTTGTTATATTCATCTTATTAATTAATTAATTAATGCTTTAAATATGAAAAAAAAAGAGGAGGATATGGATATGTCATATGTCATATGTAAAAGGACAGAGGATCTGTTTGATGATGGATAGGGATACTAGTATTATTATTGACTGTTTATTTATTTAATATAATGGATGGGCTTGTTGTAAAAGATGGAGATTCGGGTATGAAAAGAGAGGGTCTTGTAATCCAAAAAGAAATAGCCCTAGCCCATATATACAGGGGCAGCAATGCAGTTACATAGACCCTTTTGAACTTTGTGAGGCTGTTTAGAAAAGTTCATGAAGAAAACTATAAACAGGCTAAACTAGATAAGAAGAAAGCTCAGAAAGAGGTTGAAATGGAGAGGGCAAAGGGTATTAACTTAACAAAAAAAACAAATATAATAAAATTACAAGAATATGCAAAGCATGTTGATACCCACACACCCAGAAAGAAAGTCAAAGGGTGTTTGTTGACCAAAGGAACCTGAAAAGGGTATGGTTGTCCATGCACATACACCCACAGTTCATGCATCTGTTAGTTACACTTCACAGGGGTGATGTTGAAGTTCCAGTGTTAGAAAAAGTTAGTCACTATTCTAGGAACATGTTCTTAGGTTTGTGATCATGACTTTTGATCCACCAGAGCTAACATGAAGAAATGAGATTTTAAGAGAATCAATGGGGAAACACATTAATGTTAGAAGCATGTTGCTTGAAATGCTAATTGATCTAGTAGTGACCATTACATCATAATAGCTTCTTGAACAATGGCATAAGATTGCCTCCTCTAAGTTTATAACTTACTTTTTTGATGATGCAGTTCATCCTATAACTATGAGATGGGTGATGAACCTTCTCCATTCAAACAATGATTGCCTAAGAAACTGGTGTTGTTGGGCTTGCTGCAGAGCATATGGATGCATGTACAAAGATGACAGGAGAGCTTCAGGGTGAGGCTTTGATGCACAAAACTTATGCTACCAGGCTTATATAGGACTAAAGCAACCAATTAAGCCCTATATCAAGTTCTTATTCTAAGTATCTATTCTAATAAGATTGTAAACAGGATTTATGGCTAATAAGAGGAATGACGATTGTAAAGAGTAAGAAATTAAACCCCGATATGTGTGTTGTTCAGGCTACAGACTTTACATATTTGAGTCGATCAGTAGCAAAGAGTAAGAAATTAAACCCTAACGCAATCAATATAAGAGGAATGACGATTGTAAAAGGAAAAAAAAACGGAGAAATTAAACCCTAACATAATATATTGTGCAATTGAACCAAACCTAACCTAATATATGACTAAAGCAAATAAAATCAAGAGGTTTACCTGAATCAGAAGTTAAGGAAGAATAGGCTGCGGGAATCGGAAGCTGCAATGGTCCATGGTGTCGTCATCTGTTTGAATGGAGATTGTGAGATTAGGTTAAGCTGCAACTCGAGAGTCAAACTTACACAAACTTCGCGTTCAATTGGAGTGATAAAGCAGATTTGGGAGGGAAGGAGACTTACACAAACTTCGTGAAACTGGACTTGGATTCGTCAATTTCAGCGAGAGATCTTCAATTAAAAAAACATAGCGTGTGTATGCTCCCTCGGCCTTCTATCGCTAAATACATACCAGATGGCAACAAGTCGATGATTTTTTTCCCTCGTTGAACCCTCGCCAAATGCCTTCATTTTCCACTGATTACCGAGGAATAAAGGCGCGTCGATAAAGACTTGTAAGATCCGTAACTTATCCCTCGCTAAATCCTCTCTGATACGCTATATGTTGAATAAATAAAATACTTGTTTAAACCATCGCAGATCTCTCGTAATTCTCTCTCTATAAGCCAAAATTTTGCTACAGAATAGATCCTTCTCTAAATCCGTAGCTGAAAGTCAACTTTCTAGTAGTGAACTATATATTCTAACAAACAATAATTTTAACAAAAATACTAATTGATGTAACAATATAAAATAAAATTTGGTTATTAATAGATACATTATAAAATTCGAACCATACTATGGAATATCTCTACTTTGTTTGTTTTATATTTTACATACTACTTACCATACGATTGTAATTATTCGTATTATGTTTTACATATATGAATCTTAGTGACTGTGTTAATTCTTTTTCATTTACATTTCAGTGAAATAACAAATAAGTAATAAGAAGTAAGAAGTAAGAAATAAATGTGTTTATTCAATAAAGTAAATACTGTTTTTTTTGCAGCTTTTAGACTTACGTCTTTTCATATCTTTTAGATAGATATACACAATCTGTTTTGACATAGTAACTAATGACATGAAGACAAGTAGATTACTCTGAACAATTATGGACAGAGTTCTTAACAAGCATTTCGAAGACAAGTGCTAAGCAGGGGATTTCTTGTGCACGATATTGGAGTATGATAGTCCAATATGTCTATCAGAAGGAAAAAATCGAAGTTCCGGAATATGAAGACAAAGCAGTTTTCCACATGTATGGTAGTCCGAAGGAGGTGCATGATGATCCGGCTATCTTTACCACAGTTGCTCGCATTCCGGATGCGATGCTCAAGAAGGTGGATCCCACGAATAATGTCTTGGTGTCATATTTGCAATCTATTGACACAACCGTTGTTACCGGGATGTTACAACAAGAAGAGAAGAAGAAGTCGAAGAAATCAAAGAAGACAGAGGGTGAGTCTTCGGAAAAAGGGGTGAAATCAGAACAAAAGAATCAAGAGTTAATAGTTAAATCTAGAACTATCGAAGAGGTGTCGCCTGTTTTTAACTTCAGTGGCTGATACACCGGTTATCGAAGCCTCTCCATCAAAAGAAACGATTCCTTCGAAGACGGGGGTTTTTCGAAGAATAAAAATCAAGAGAAAATCTCAATTGGTGAAGAAAACACAGGTTACTCATCAAGGGGTTACTGTTCGAGAAATTCCAGCTCCGGTGTCTCCGTCTTCTAAGAAACGAAGGGCTGCAGATAATGGAAAAATTTAAAAAAAAAAAAAAAAAAAAAAAAAAAAAAAAAACCCAACGTATAGAAGAAGTGGAACAAGTTCCTGAGACTCCTGAAGATGAAATTCCTAAAGAAGTAGAGACTCTTCAGTCTACTGAAATTTCGAAGCGTGATGATATAAAGCTCATTGAATCAACATCTTTACCTCAGGTTACTTCCACAACTGATTCTCCAACATTCCAATCTATTATGGATCAACCTTTCACCACTATATTCTCAACACAATCAACCGATCCACCAAATTCATCATCACCTGTTGCTGAAACCATGGCTGTTGATGAAGAAACTGATAACGAAGGATTTGGAGGAACATTCGAAGCTCTTTCCTTTGATAAAGCTGAAGAAGATTTCCCTGACCATATGCTAATGACGATGAAGCAGTTCAAGATATTGAATTCAAAATTAAATTCTATCTTGCAATCTCAAGCGGATGTGGGAAGTGCTGAAATCACTATCATGGAAGTTGATTCCATAATGAAGGAAATGGAAAGCAGGATGATTTCGAAGGCATCAGGGTTAATACGTGATTCTAAAAGCCGCATTCTTGAGAAAACTGATCAGAATGATAGTTCTACAAAGAATAGAATCAATTCTCTGAGATCTGATTTTCTGAAGGAAGTGAAGGATTTGAAGACTGTTACGAAGGAGCGTCATGTGCTCTTCGTACAGGAAGTTAAGAAGGTTAGAGAAGACGTTAATATGCAAATTCGTGAACTTTGTGAAACAATGACGAAGGAGGTTCAGCATATTCAACAAGGGTATGAATCAGCACATCAGAAGATCGACATTATTTGTGATGCGGTTGTTCAGTGTGTTCAGATGTTCGAACAAGTCAATCCTCAGATGATCTCTCTTTCAACCACAGAAGAACAACATTTTGGAGAGTTGGTGAAACTGTTGAAAGAACTCCAAGATATATCTTCGAAAGTTTCTTCACCAATTATTTTTCAAGAATTTCTTTCTCAGAAATTCATTCATTTCGAAGCCATTCTACAAAAACACCTTGCTCCATTGCTTCGAATTTCAAGCCTTTTGCCACACGTATCAGATGCCCCACCTGCTATCACAGGGATGCAAGGGGGAGAAAAGGTTGGTCAAGCAAAGGCTGGGGAACATGAGAAGAAAACTGAAGATATGAAGGTGGTAGGAAAGGTTTATCCTTCGAAAGGTTTTTTGTTAAGCCAACAATTGTTTCAGCTGCTCCAGTTATTTCAACTGTGACTACAATTGTTCCAATTTCAAGACCTATTGCAAAAGGGATTGTAATTCTGAATCAAAGTGATGTCTCTTCGTCAAAGAATGTAGCACCTTTGAATGATAAAGACAAGGGAAAAGGAGTTTTGGTTGAGAAATCTAACAAAGAGAAGAAAGCTGAAGTGGCAGCTGAAATTGAAAGAATGAGGCAAGTTCAAAGTATAATGCGACAAAGAGCTCTAGAAGGTTCAAATGTTGATAAGGGGGATCCTTCAAAAATGTACAATTACGAAACAATAGAATCCAGGGTGATGTTCGATCACATGTATTCTTTTGAAAAGATTCCGAAGAAGAGCTTTGTGGTGACAAATACTGATTTTTGTCAACTTGATTTTCCAATCAACGAAATGATGTTCGTTATGCCACAGTTCAAAGCTGAGACAAAGTCTATGGATACCGAAGAGGGAAAGAAGATGAAGATACGTTTTCATGCAGTATTAGCAAAGGCTCAAGAAGAAGTTTGGTTCTTGGAGAAAATTAAGAAGGTGATATCTATAAAAATGGATGTCATTTTCGAAGAGAAGTTTCAAAATGTAAAATATGTTGTGGCAAGGGCGAGTGGAAAGATACAAGAGTTTATTGTGGTGGACTTTCCATTGATGAACACTTATGATCTTATCAATGTTGCCCTGATACTTAAAGACAAGTCATTCTCTTTTCTCCAAGATACAGAACCAGATGTTTTCAGTCTTGGGTTTTTATAGAGTTTTAAGAGTAGTTTTTTGATTGATTTGGTTTCCTCAACAAACAAGGTTAGATTTATTTTTTTGCAGTGATTTTCGGATTTTCAGTTCATTGTTTATACAGTCTCATAGTTATATGTAAAACTGCTTAAAACAAGGGGGCCTAATTAGTCTTTTTGGTGATATTTCGTAACTGATATACATGTATACATGTATTATGAACGTCAAAACCAGAGGGGCCATGGCCCCTCCTAGCCCCTAATGAGGTTTTTATTTTTCACCATTACATTGTAATTTTCGAAAACGTGATAAAATTCCATTATTAAACAAAAGAAATAGAAATGAATTTATACTAATATGTTTATTATTACGTCAAGGTTTCACCAGTTTTATCTATTGCGGTATAATAATAAAAAAAAACTGTTACCGCTTCTCAAGAGAAGTTTATATGTCAACCAAGCCTTATAATAATGCCATTTTTCTATAAAATTCAACTATAAATTTACAAAATGACCAATTAACACAACCAAATGTATTATACAACAATTAACATACTGTAAAAGTTCTTACTTAACCAAAACAGACTTTTTGTATGCATTGAAGCAGATTGAAGAAGCCGGTCGTCTTGCTTCTTTACTAAAGAAGAGAGAATTGAAGGCGGCCGGAATTTATGATTATAGGAAAAGGAAGAATTTCTTCTGCAATGCTGAGATCCCCTTTGAAATCAGGCCGCCAATTGGCTTTTATGATATCGCTGATGAAAGTTCAATAGTTGAGCAACCTAAATTCCTAACCACCATCGAGGAAATGGAAGGTGAAAGAAGGGCCGATAGAGAGGCCCGTTTGAGAAAGCAGGACATTGCGAAGAACAAAATAGCATGGAGAAGTTCTACCCCACATGCTCTCCTTTTCGATTCTACCCAGAAACCATGTCAGGAATGATTATGACACCGATGCAAGGAAAGAAAGGTATGATTATGATGTAGGGCGGAAATTAGGCGAGGCAAAAGTTGGGATTTCCAGCAAGGTACTTATAGAGAAATTAAGTTGTTCACTATCCACTTATTAGTTGTTATGATTATCAATATCCTGGTTACAAGTTTTGCACATTTAATACCTAATGAAATGCTTGTTATAAAAAATATCTATATTAAAAATATAAGTATATTGGTATTAGGAGTAAAACCATACAATTATATTGTTATGATGGACAAAAATATAATGAACTTTTGTTATGTTTTATGTTTACTCTTATGTAAATACAAATGGCGATGGTTGTATTTATTTGCTTGTTATAGCCACCTACTTTTGTTTTATGATTTCAACAATTAATGAACTTTCCTTAAAATTTCTTATTAAGACACTGTAGTTTGAAAAACACCTAATTATAGTAGTAAGTGTAATTCTATGAATCTTGATGATCTTACTGATATGAGGAGCCCTCAATATATACAGCAGGAATAGGATAGATTACAGGGATATACAAAGAGATATTCTAGGAAATTGCTAATCACAATCAATTTACAATAAATACAAATATATATGGAGATATGTTATGTTCTACTAATAGTCCCCCGTAGTCGAAACTATAGCTGGTCGGATGGAGAGACTGGATCGGAAGCGAGTGAAAAGTTGACGAGGTAATCCATTTGTGAAGATATCAGCATATTGGTAATCTGCCGGAACATGGAGAACTCGAAGAGAACCCATGCGAACTTTTTCTCGGACAAAGTGAATATCAATTTCAACATGTTTTGTGCGTTGGTGTTGCACGGGGTTTTGTGTGAGATAAACGGCTGAGAGATTGTCACAATAAATGATTGTGGCTTGGCGTACTGGAAGGTGTAACTCGAGAAGCAAGTTTCGTAGCCAAGTTGTTTCAGCTGCAGTGTTTGCGACCCCTTTGTAAAATAGCCTCAGCACTAGAACGAGAGATTATGGGTTGATGTTTAGATGACCAAGAGACCAGGTTATCACCGAGGAAGACACAGTAGGAAGAAGTGGAGCGTCGGGAATCCGACACCCTCCCCAATCTGCATCAGAATACGCAATAAGTTTGGCAGATTTAGAAGGAGTGATGTGTAGACCGTGGTTGCTGGTTCCTTTGAGATACCGCAGAATACGTTTGAGAAAATTGAAGTGTGGTTCACGTGGATTATGCATGAAGAGACACACTTGTTGGACAACATATGCGATATCTGGTCGTGTGAAAGTGTGATATTGGAGACCACCAGCTAAGCTGCGGTAGAGAGAGGGGTCGGACATTGGTTGGCCAGCAGTGAGGCTAAGCTTGGAGCGCGTGTCGGCAGGAGTGGTACTTGGTTTGCAGTTTTGCATGTTGGCACGTGTTAAGATGTTGTTGATGTATTGAGCTTGAGAGAGAAAGAGACCACCATTTTGATGTTGAACTTGGATGCCGAGGAACTGATGAAGTTGGCCGAAGTCAGTCATAGCGAATTCTTTAGACAATAGGTCAATGAAACGGCGAAGAAGGGATTCACTTGAGGCAGTGAGGACAATGTCATCTACATACAATAAAAGATATGCCATTTGGTGTCCATGCTTGTAGACAAAAAGGGAGTTGTCATTGGTGGTGCTTTTAAATCCACATGTTTGGATGAATGTTGCAAATCTTTGGTACCAAGCTCGTGGGGCCTGTTTAAGACCGTATAATGATTTCCGTAAGCGGCAAACCTATGTTGGGTTTTTGGTATCGACAAACCCGGGTGGCTGGAACATATAGATAGTTTCATTTAAGTTCCTATGTAGGAATGCATTCTTTACATCTAGTTGGTCAATAGGCCAAGATCGTGACACAGCAAGGCTAAGAACTGTTTGTATCGGGGTGGGTTTTACCACAGGACTAAAGGTCTCATCACAGTCGACGCCTACTTGTTGGCTTTTCCCATTGATGACTAGGCATGCTTTGTATCTTTCAAGAGTCCCATCGGCATGAAACTTGTGCCGAAATAGCCACATACAACGTATAACATGAGCATCGTTTGGTCGAGGCACTAGATCCCATGTGTGATTGTCTATTAAATCCTTGTATTAGTTGGTCATAGCTGAGTGCCAGTTAGGATCAGATATTGCCATTTTATAGGATTTGGGTAGGGGAGAAATGGTTGGGTCAGTGGAAGTGGTGTGAAGGTTGAATGGGGTTTTAGGTTTTGTGATTCCGACTTTGGAGCGTGTGGTCATGGTGTGGGTGGAGGTAGGAGGAGGGGGGTTTGATGGGGGATGTGGTGGCCGTCTGGAATATGTGATGGGGAAGGATGTGGCGTTTGTTGTAGATGGAGATATGGGATTTATTGGGGTTGTTTCAGGCGAATGATTTTCGTATGGTTGAGTGGTTGTTGGAGCTTCAGTGTCGGGGCTGGGGTTGGGGTTGTGTGAAGGTGAAGAGGTAGGTTGAGTAGGGGATTGAGGAGTTTGATATATAATGGGTGAGGGATCGGTGTCTAGGAAGGAATAATTAGGTTGCGGGTTTGGAGTAGAGAAAGGGAATGATGTTTCGTCAAATGTGACGTGACGAGAAAGGAGGATCTTGCCGGTGGATAAGTCAAGGCATCGATAACCCCGATAGTTGGCCGGGTATCCGAGGAACACACAAGCGGTGGATTTAGGGAAGAGTTTATGTGGGCGGGTGGCAGTGAGGTTGGGGTAGCATGCACAGCCGAAGACCCGTAGGTGGTCATATGGAGGGTGTTTTTGGTAGAGTGCGGAAGTTGGAGTGTGGAAGTTGAGTAGTTTGGTGGGTAAGATGTTGTGAAGGTAGGTAGCTGTATGGAGGGCGTCAACCCAAAATGTAGGTGGGAGGGAAGCATGGGTAAGAAGAGTGAGTATGAGTTTGTTGATACGAAGAATCATGCGTTCAGCTTTCCCATTTTGTTGGGAGGTGTGTGGGCAAAAGAAGCGGATATGAAGGCCGGTGGTTGAGGCGAATTGGTTGAAGTGGTGGTTGTCAAATTCGCCTCCTTTGTCACACTGGAAAGTTTTTATATGTTTGTGGAATTGTGTTTGGATGAATTTGTGAAAGTGTTTGAATTTGTCATAGGTTTCAGATTTAAATTTTAAAGGAAAGACCCATGTATAGTGTGTGTGGTCATCAATAATTAGAAGATAATATTTATGGCCACTTTTGCTTGGTAAGGGAGAGGTCCATAAGTCAGCATGGATGAGATCAAATGGTTGAAGTGTGGTTGATGTGGAGTCAGTGAATGGGAGTCTTTTGTGTTTGGCTAGTTGACATGAGTTACATACAAATGAATGATCAAGTTTATTGCAAGAAATAATTTTATTAGAACTAAGGAAGTCCATTACATGATGGCCCGGATGTCCGAGTCTGTTATGCCAAAACAAGGAATTAGAGGAAACAAAAAAAGATAAATTTGTTGGAGCGTTGATTGGGTAAAGATCCCCGGAGCTATTGTGCCTCGTCAGTAGTTTCCCACTCTTGTAGTCCTTCACAGATAAACCATAAGGGTCAAATTCGACAGATACGAAATTTACGAACGGAAACGAGGTTTTTAATTATACCGGGTGTGTGTAAAATGTATTTAAGGTGGATGGATTTAGTGGGGTAGGGTAAGGTCGAATGACCTGATCCTAATACCGACACTCGATTTCCATTCCCAACAAAAACAGATTTAATAGATGACACAGAAGGGGTAGAAATTTTACCTGCATCGGCAGTAAGGTGAGTGGTGGCGCCTGTATCCATGTACCACTGATTGTCATTTGGCTCCAAAGTCATGGTGTTAAAAGCCGCTCCAAGTTCTGTTGCTTCAAGATGATTGATATCTGTAAGATGAGCCTGCTGTGCATTGCTAGTCTGGTTATTGGGTTGGCGATTTTGTGGGTTGTTCCATGGAGAAGCCCATCCGGGCATAGTTGGATAAGGACAACGAGGTGTAGTCCACCAGGGGGTAGTAGCCCAATAAGGTATTTGTGAGGGATTGGACCATTGAGATCTCGGTGGATTAGGTTGAGATCCACGTCGATTAGAAGAAGAGGCGTGTCATTGATTTGAGGTTGGGTTGCCAGGTCGATGAGTAGAAGGACGTCGCTGTGGTTGTCGGCGATTTGGGGCAGAAGTATCACGCCGATTAGGATAATTGGGAGGGGGATTTGAAGGCTCGTGGGTGACAGCAGCAGCGACATCGGCAGGGGATAGAGAATCTCGAGCATGTTGACGTTGGTGCTCAAGCTGAAGCATAGAGCACGCAGTCTCCCATGGGGGCAGAGTTTGATTGACATACACACCGACCGGGTCGTATTCAGTGAGAAGGCCTCGAACAAGCTGAAGTACGAGGCGTTTTTCATTCACCGGACAATCAACATCGTTGAGTTGATCAGCGAGTTCTTTCAATCTTTGACAATAATCTTCAAGAGAGGGCATCGCACGAAGAGTCAAGTTGTTGAATTCATGTTCAAGAGCAGCAACCCTAGAACCTTTGTTATTGAGAAAAATATTTTGTATTCTGGTCCAAGCTTCGTAAGCTGTTGAATCTGGTTCAAGAACACGGGTGAGGAGATCGTCTGAGAGTGTCCCGTAGATCCATTGAAGAACAATGGCGTCAATCTCATAGTCTTCATCTGTTTTGGCTGGGGGTGTGGTTCCATCAATGTGGGAGAGGACCTTGTATCCACGAGCATGAAGTTTGAAAAGCTTAACCTAAGAGGAGTAGGTTACCTTCTTTCCATCCAGGATTCTGACTTTGTTTTGAATGTTTGCAACAGTGTAAACGGGATGGATGATTTTGGTGGTGTTAGGATCGGTTTTGTCACCCATAGGGAAAGGGTAGTGACTTGTTGGGAGAGAAGGTGGAGACTACACAGTCGTAGCTGTTGCAGAAGGTTCAGAGACGGTACTTGGCTCTTAGCTCTGATACCATGTAATTCTATGAATCTTGATGATCTTATTGATATGAGGAGCCCTC